ACTGAAGACCGGTTTCGTCAACATCGCCACCCCCGACCGCCTCTGTACCGTGACACGACGGACGACTCGTGTCCCGGCCGATAGCCTGTCCTTCGGGAGAGCGACGGGACGCCGAATCAATGGACGCCATCGACCGTACACCAATCACGGATCGATGTCAAGTTCCAGTGTTTGGCAGCGGTCGGGTATTTCTTCGACAGTCGCGGCTCGCTTCACTTTTGTTTAAAACTTTTAAAGTGTCTGTCCCTCTTTTGTTTTTTCTTTTCTTTTTTTCTGAGTGCGGGGACGCGCAGGCGTTCGGAGACATCTCCTTTCCGAAGTGCGAGTCAATAATACTCCGGCTGATTAGATCGATGGGCGAGCGGCGGATGTCGATTTGTTGGCCGCCTTTGTGCTGGACTGCTGTCGCCGCGCTCCCTTTGTCTCAGGGTGGCGGCGGGACGACACCTTTACCCAGCTTTGCCTCACACGCCATTGCGTCATCGCCGCAAAGGCGCCTATTTCCGGTCGCCTTAATTTTGAGCTCTGGAGCTACTGTTCGCAAGTGCGTGGGAAGAAGCTCGCTCAGGCTCTCGGTGAGTTTCGTTTGCTGTGTGCGGAGGCTGTTTGGCATTTTGAGACTATGAATTATATCTTGAAATTATTATCGGTTTTCCTAACGCTCTTTCGAAGCCTTCATTGTCAAAAGAGGGTTCGAAAAAGAGGTTCTTGGCGTCTTGTCAAGGCCACGCTTCCGCTTCGCATGTTGACGACAAACATCTCGCTCCAGCTGCGTTGATCGCAGCTCCGGTAATGCTTGCGTCCTAGATCACCTTCGTTGCGACGTCGGGGATGTGTTTTTAACAAAGGCATTTCATGCTTTCGGCATAACTAAATGCCCAACAAAGGGCGGCGAGTTTTGTTTTTTACACCACCCCTTCAGTAGGGCGTGTTCAATATTGATGTATTTTTGTTTTTGATGTTTTCCGACTACACGATATTGGCCGGTGTGATCATCTTCTTGAGGTTCAAATATTCTTCAATTCGAAGAGTCGAGCTAATTTACGCTTCCCGACATACGTATATAATTCGTTGCTTTATCACTAAATTATTTTTTAAATGTAAAAATAAAACAAAAAGTAACAAAGAAAGACGCCAGAGGCTAAACCATGTGGTAAGCGATTGCAGAAATGGTGTGCATAAAAAAGCGCGATATTAAATCAACTATAGAAGTACTATGAGTAATTTAGGACTAAAAAATTATGACGGTGAACGTAGAAAATGGGTCTCGTCTTCCAGGGGTACGGAAACAAAATGTTGTGGCCGCGAGCCCCTTATCCCTCTCTTCGAAATCTTTCCAGCAAGAAGCGTAGTGCGTATTGCTCTTGTGACGTCAATGGCTCCTGCACAGCCAAGGGTACTGCGCTAGCGAGCGTTGCCGCATGGTGGAGTCAACGTGTGACAATCTCGCCTAGTAGTCTTATCCGAGGACTGTACGCCCTATGGCCTATAGATAGCTTGCACGCAACGTTATTCGCGGCCATGCCGGTATTTCATGATGTGCCGCGAGCGTTCGGTTCCCCGTGTCAGTCTCACACCGCAGCTCGAGGGAACCAGTAAGTAACCGTCAAACCCAGCATTGGCGGCACCTGCAAGCTATGTGTGTCACTTATTCGCTGGGTGCCATATTTGAGAGCGTTATTCACAGCGCATACCGTGCGGGGGGGGGGGGGGGGGGGGGGTGAGGAGAGTGGTTGGCCTGGCAGAAGTCCCCGCATCCTCAGATCAAGCTCCTACCTGACGTCTGCATAGAACGGCGATCTTGATGGTTTGGAATGCACGTTGCGGAAGCACTGTGGATGCTTTAACGTATACAACTTAGAGGACTCGTTAGCGCTCTCCACCAAGTCACATCTGGACTAAGTAATTTCACAAGAGAGCAATAGTGCCGCGAACTGGCGCTGCTTCTGGCCGATGACGTGGAGGCATTCCAACGGAGCTTCACAGACCGCCACGAGGCGCAATCTTGAAATCTTTAATTCCTTTTAATATTAGTTTTCTTGAACTTTCTGCGGGCAGCCCACGAACACTAGTGACTAGTGTCCCTGGGCTGCCGCCACAACATAGACCACACCTAAACGAACAAATAATTACAAAACATTTCGTTTCCGTGCCACTTTAGAAAGGTTAGGTAGTTGGCATAAAAAGGGAACGTTTATTCTTACATACGTGTTGGATAACAGTCCGGATAGTTTGTTTTAATAACTTTAAACCATCGAAACTTGTAAATCACTGGAATTGGACTGTACAAACAACCACGTCTAAATGCGCTTTCATTCAAAACGATTGCAATAAGGGCGACCAACTTTTCTCGAATTAGACAGTTCAAACGCATTCCACAAAAGTTGCCCTATTTACAATAGTCGATTCGTTTCACACTCTAGCGCTCACAACAAGTCAAATTATGCGAGATATTTAAGTAAGAAAACAAACATTGCAAGCGTATCTAAATTTATACGTACATTTTCATTTTGCGGTAAAATGTTTTCACGACTTGGGAATTTGTGAATTCAAGGCGTTTTTTTTTTTCTCGAACAAATTCATCTCCCAGTAGCAGCCATTTTTCTATTTTATAGTGTCTTAATGTAAGCTCAAATATGTTTTCAAATTGGAAAACAAATTTAAATCTGAACACCGGGCATGTTTTTAGAAGTTGCAATTACATTTTGCCGGGTGTTTTGACAATTAACTGACGATTTGATGTTTTTGTTTGATATAATGTTAATAAAAACACGAAAACTGATTGGTCCAGCGTTGTAAAGAATTAGCAGTTTATCGTGGCTGGAGACTGAAATCAGTTACAACGTGTATCAACTCTTCCATTTCTCAAAATTATTGGAGCTGCCGGAAGGAAATATTTGTGTAATTTGGCCTGTTGAGGCCAGATCTGATAAAACCAGTCCCTGTTAATATTCCTCCGTTCCTTGTCCCTCCACATCCCCTGGTTATATATACACAAAAATTCATACTGATATATATTGCACAGATGAACGAGTTCTTTTTTTTATTTTGTGTGACCTATAAAGTGTATAAAATCGGCACTCACTGTCTAATTATTGTTATTACAAGGTAACTGGTCTTGACGAAATGTTTATCGCATATAACCGTTTTTTTACGTGTCAAAAAAAGAAAATAGAGAGAGATTTGAAACCTGTATTCGAAGAAGTTCCTTTTTTACTTTGTCTGGAGTCCTTTGAACTTACCTAGCTAAAACTTTTTAATATCTTAATTGCGCGCTTTGAACATGCCGGACACGCCATTTTATATTGCAATTTGCGCACCACACCTATTTACACTCTCCAAGCGTCTAATGCATAGACTGCAGTCAAACTTCATAAGTTTTTTTTTTTTTTTTTTTTCGGAGGGGGGGGGGGGGGGCGGCGATATCAGTTGACTTATACCGCTCAGGCCACACGAAGTGCCTGATGTAAAGTTATTTACACCAGATATATTGTGATATCACATCTGCATGTTGTTAGGGCTATAAGATTATGTCACTGAAAGGCTCTTAAAGGGGCACTGACACCCCAAAGGTCGTATTTATTTTTATTGTCTAAAACGATGCAAGTTGTAGTCATAGACACGCAAAAAAAACCGCATCGCGAAAAAAAATTTTCCCGCGTGCGCACGCGCCTTTTTATTTTTGGCGTTTGATTTTCCCGCCTCTCGCCTCCTCGCTTCTTTTGATCGGTGACGTCAAAAATCAGGAAATTCAGAAGCTTTGTAGGCGACATCTCTATAACATTTAATTACGGCAATCCTAAAACATGTTTTTTAACGCAATTGCGAACGCACTACGGCCCTTCTTTTTGAAATACCAAAAATCGGGAGTTCGTTGTGGTGCCGTCTCCTGGATTTGTATCCTCCAACGGAAAACAGGCGACACCGCTCAAAACCGGTCCGCCGAAACGCCGGCGCTAGCCGGCGCTCGCTCCTATCCTCCTCGCTTTGGGTCGCCATGGCAACAGCAGGGAGTGGTGACAGGAAAGTGGACTCTCAGGTCTCCTCAATTTTTGACGTCAAGGCACCGGCGCCGATCGCGCGGGAACTTCGATTTCGGCATTTGGAAATTGTTTTTTTACTTCACGAATACTGAATTCCCAAATCTCAAATTTTGAGGGTAATGTCCCGGCATCGTTTTCAATCGTTTCGGATAATAAACAAAAATATGATTTTGATGTGTCAGTGCCCCTTTAAAGGCATGGGCAACGTTTATGAGAAAATATAATTTACCACGATAACTACATGCTACACTTAATGGGGGTGTTGAATGACGCAAGAAGTCCAAGGTAGTGCGATATTATGTAGCATGGTCAAAATAAGAATTCCAAGATACTGAATAGTTCAGATCCCACCGATGCTTTATACGCACCAGACTGTATAATGCCCGGCCTCCTAAGGGGATGTGGAGCGTTTGCGCGTGTTTTCTTGACCTTTTTGTGGAATTGTAATGTCCAAAGGGAATGAAACGACTCATCAAGACGGTTTCCACTGTTACTTCAAGCACTTAAATACAGCATTTTCCTGTGTATGAGTCGAGGCTTTTTCTCCTAATTTTTCTCGGCGCGTCTTGTACAAAGGTGGGACTTATACGCGTGTATTTTTATAAGCATGGAACTTTACTGCGCAAAATGTAGGTCGCGGGCCCAATATTCCTCGTTAAATTCGTTGGCGAGAATATTGAAACTAGCTCCAGATTGAGCGCATACCGAGTGCACACATATACGGGCTTAGTGTCGAGACAGTTTCGTCGCGGTGACCATACAAAGAAGTGCGACTTATACAAAAGTGGGACTTGTATGCTAACTTTTCCCCCAAAACAAGCGTGTTTTTTTTTGTTTTTTCTTTACGGGTGTTGCGATTTATAGACTTCAAAATGCGGTGTCTAAACGAGGCAGGCATTCCGTGCCTCCGGGTCCAGTAGGTTGGCGTAACGCTTGGTGTCTTCCTTTCACGCGCAGAAGGAACTGGACGTGACGGCCACCCAACTGGTGGACCGACAGGACGCGAGCGATGCAGCCAGGTCCCGACTGGTTCAACTCTGCCGGGACTTCAAGAAGGGAGCCCCCCAAGTGAGTGGCTGGACATTTGGCCCCCGTCCGACCCGCCCTCGCGGGAACGCGACAGAACAGCACACGACAAAACAGCACGCGACAAAACAGCACGGTCAAAACAGCACGCGTCAAAACAGCAGAGCGTCAAAACAGCACGGCGACAAAACAGCAGGCGACAAAATAGCACGCGACAAAACAGCACAGCGTCAAAACGGCACAGCGACAGAAGAGCACGTGCCAAAACAGCACGGCGTCAAAACAGCACAGCGACAAAACAGCACGCATGTAGCAACTTCGAGCGCGCTCTTCGCCTCTCTCTGCGCGAATATTTTCGAACCTAAATAACCTTTTCATTTATTGTCGCTAGATTATAAAAGAATTTATTGCCTATTTCATTGCTAAGTCAGTGTTTGAACTGGTGCTGCTGTGTTATTGCTAAAAACAAACGAAGTTAGCAGTAGTTACTACTACTTAACTACGCTGATCTCTTAAGAGATTGGGCAGTTAGAGGTGATATCTTCGCGTCGATGTTAAGCGAGTTGTCTGGTCTTTTTTTTTTTTGTCTTTTTTTGAGAACCAACGGAAGACGAAAAATTATTGTGAAAAAGAAATCCATAAGTTCAAGTTATGAACCGTCTGGTTTGCGGCGGTCCGGTGAGGTTCCGTAGTACTCGTTGTTTCGTAACTACCACGTACGCAAAAAACGTCCCCCCCTCAAAAAAAAAAAAAAAAAAAAAAAGCGGGAGATGCACCGATTACAGATGCATTGATAAAACGGGGAAGATAAGGTAACTTTAATGTCGAGGGAATTCAAGGTGTACCATAGGCAACGATTCTGCGGGGTTCATTCGCCGTGAATAAAATGTCCCGGAAACACGCGGCTGCTGCTTGCAGGCGAGAAGTTGTTTTGAGTTAAATTCACAGATTATTGCCGACAAAGGGGCCTCGATCGAGTGGAAACCGGTGAAGCAGAAACAAGCCACAGCCTCAATGCTGTTGCCGTACAGCATGGGCTAAGCGCACCGTTGCCGCACACACTTTCTGTGTTTTTTTTTTTGTTTTTTTTTTAACAGCTAACAACAGCACGTTGCCGTGCGATTGATTCATTTATTGTAGACGACATCACCAACAAACTTGAGCGTCAATATTAGCAGAACTGCTTGAGGAATAGCCAGAATACGCAGCAGCGGGGGCTTCGGTACTGCCCAGGGAGCCTTCATGCGCATCGAATATACCCCCCACTCCCAACTTGCTCCCATGAGAGCGGATTCGACAAATTGGCCGTCGACAAGATGACCTTCGAGGAATATGCCTAGACCCTCCATTCCTTTCCAGCGGCTACTTTGAGACATGCATTTTTTAACTCCATCGCTATATTTAGGGTTCAGCGTTTTCGGCTTAAACCAATAAAATCGGTAAACGTACGGCGAAATCTTTTTTAAAAATTCGGTTTTAACTGACAAAGGTCAGTATTTTCGAGGGCGTTTGGAGGGGTGCGTGGGGGAATGTGCTTCATTACTGACCGTATGACCACTTCCTTGCGCAGTTTTTAGCCTGTCTCCGAGCTCGGTTCAACCCTCAAGAAAAGTTGGACCGACGCAATGGTCTTCAGGACGAAATATGGGTTTTTCACCTGATAGGGATTTGTGTGTCGAATTCTTTGTTCAAAGAAGAGAGTTTAATTGTGAACTGAACAATAAAATTAAAGGGCATCCGTAAATGGCGCACATCTTTTAACACCCCTAGCTTCCGTCTACTAGAGGAGGGCATATATACGATTGATTTATTGTCGTTTCTTGGACTGCGCGAATGATCCACCTCTCGCAGTCGTGAAAATGGGGGAAAGACGCACTGAGTACAATGCTTGCAAATTTTTTGGATTTTGATATTTGCCTCTCCGACTGAAGTGGAAGTAAAGCTCATGTTCGTCCTGTGTACAAATACGAGCCCACGACGATAATGTCAGATCACGATAGGGCGCCAGTGCGTCTTGCAGAACAGGTTGCGTCGGCTGCCACAGACAGCAACAAATAAAAAATTCAGTACCTGGTTTACTCACTATTCATTTTAAACAAACGCCTTTAAATATTGCATTTTCCTCAGTATACTGGTTTTCGTCAATAAACCGAAAAGAACTGAAAAGTTTATGAGTCTATAAATATACTCAGCAATAAACCGAAAACTCCTGCTTGAAATAAAAACCGAAGAATGTACGCCGAATTTCAAAATAGTTAAAACCGAAAACGCCAAACCCTAGCTTTATTGTCAATGTCCCGTTTTGACGCGGCGCTGTTCTGACGCTGTGCTGTTTTGACGCTGTGCTGTTTTGACGCTGTGCTGTTTTGACACTGTGCTGTTTTGACGCCGTGCTGTTTTGGCACCTGCTCTTCTGTCGCTGTGCCGTTTTGACGCTGTGCTGTTTTGTCGCTTGCTATTTTGACGCGTGCTGTTTTGTCGTCGTGCTGTTTTGACGCTGTGCTGTTTTGACGCGTGCTGTTTTGACCGTGCTGTTTTGTCGCGTGCTGTTTTGTCGTGTGCTGTTCTGTCATGGTGCCCCGCCCTCGCACATCCCGCGGCGCTGCAACGCGGCCCACCGCACGGCGCCCGTCTGCCATCCAAACCTCAAGCCGCGCTCTCACTCCTCGTACATTGTGCGAAGGGCACGCGAATCGCTGCAGACTTGACGACAGGATTAAATCGGCGGGCACATCTCGAATCATGTTTGGAGCATGTTTGCTTCACACATGCCTCGAATATGTGTGCAGACGGTGTTTGTATGACCAGTGTGACAGAGCCGTCATACAGGGGAAAAAAAACACGCCCCCTCAAACTCTGTCTTCAGCCTGTTTTTTCTTTTTCTTTTTTTGTACTCTGTACAAATGTACAGAGCGACTCCTGCTCGACGCGGGCAGTGTGCCATTTCGTCAAAAAATCTTACTCTGTTCGTCACGTTTTGTGACTCCGGGATTGGAGTCACTCCGGGATTGGAGTCATAGGACACGGTAGTTTGGTATATAGTAGGCTCCGACACCGCTTGCAACGTAATGTGTACGAACTAGATTGGAGATTACGCGCCGGAATTCTCGCCGTACGAACGTTGTTACGACGTCAAGCTCGTGAAAAATCAAGGATGTCCGTCAGCGTCCTTTTTTTTTCCATAATTTGCGCTCACGAATACAATGCTCTGTCGCATTAAATAATAAGCAGAGCCTTCTTTTTTGTTGTTTTTGATAACGCAATTTGTTTTGCGCAATTTTTTTGTTGTTGCAAACTATAGATCCGAGCGTACTCTGCACCTAAGTTTGCCCCGAGGTTTAAGTGACGGCACAAACGAGCAATATATAGCACGGCGCCACTTTAATTTATGACCAGAGAGCTACGCGACCTGACAGTCTATATATATATCGCAGCTGCGCCTCGCAGACGAACGCACTTAGGTGCCATTTTTAATCAAACGCGCGCACTCCTTTGTTTTAAAACCGTTCGAGTTTTGTCTCTCTCGATTCGTTAATTTTTGTCACCCAGACTGGGCTTCCCGCAGGCAGCTGGCTCGGGACGGATAAATCTGCAGTTTTCCGAGACCACCTGCATATAGTTTGGCTCGCCCTCTGTACTCCCAGCTCGAAGCTACGTGTTTACAACCCGTTACCTGCGAGCGCGCCTTGATGATGTTTTTACGGCACCACTAGAGCGCGCGATATGTGGCTTCGCCCGTTGAAACAAAAACAACCTTGTCAGCGTCCTTTTTCGACCGACGTTCGGTGGCTGGCTGATCGTCACGATGCGGGCCTCGACGTAAAGAGAAGCAAAAACCGGAACGATCGTAAACGGTAGTTATTCGATGTATCTGTCGTCGGAACTTTAATTTAGTACGGCGCGACACGTCGTGTTGGTTCGTTCTTAATCACTGCGACAATGGCAACGCAGCAAAAAAGACAGTCACGAAGTCGAAAATCTACGACGCCGAGGGAGGGCGTCACTCGTGACCGATAACTTTGGCTCGATATGCGTATACGCGAGAAAGCATTAAATGTGCAACGACAGCTTTATATATATATACAGCGTGGGTTGTGATTTTTAATGAACAGAAGGTTAGGGCGGAAACGTGCTGTAGTTGAACGTGGTAAAAACATTCCGAGTCTCGAAGAAAGGGAGGACGGACAACCTGTTGTCAAATAAATTTGGATGTGTTTGAGACCCTGGCGTCGACTGCCACTAAGGTTTACGCGTGTCGTATGAAGCCGCAGTCGCACTTCGTACATACAGAGACCCTGTGGAGACACTGTCCGAGGCGTGTTCCCTCGGTCCTGTCGCATTGCTGGTTATGACTGCTTACGTGTAGGATTGCAAAAGCATTCCTACACGTAGCGCATTCCTACAAGCTGCGCGACGCGTCTTCTTTTTTTTTGTTTTCCCACGGCGCCCCGGCGGTGACATCACGCTCCCCCACTGCGCATGCGCGGCGAACGCCGCCGGCTTCACCACGGCTTCCGTGACGAAGCATCCGCGTTGCTGTGCTTTTCTTTGTGTTTTACTTCTGAGGCGCGTCCGCTTTGACCTCGAGCGGCCCCGCCGGCTTCCGTGACGAAGCGTCTAATATCACGCGTCACAGCCAATGTGACTTAAGATGTCGTCTCGCTCAGCCAAAGGGAAAATGTTCGATGTACGCTTGAGGAGCCTGACTGCTGTTTAAGGAATGTCTTTGGTTGATGCTCCCGCACTATGAGCGTTTGAGCGACCGAGGCACGAAGGAAGGCGGCGAACGACTCGTGCTAATGGACTTCTCCGCAGTCGATATTAATGAGATCCAGAGGGTAGGCTGTCTGTGTGAAGCTCGTGTACATATGTCATCTTCGGTGAGCAAATAGACGCTTGACGGCTGCCAACTGACGTCACCTCCGTCTGGCTGCATCTGTGCCGTCTCGTGTTATTCACGTATCGAGGACTCCGGCACGAGGTTATCCGGGCACTCGACGAGAGGTATCGTGGTGACAGTTTACTTAGGAGCCTAACCTCCA